CGCAACAGAGACTATGGTCTGAAAAGCCTAAAATATTTACTCTCTGGCTCTTCAGAGAAAAAGTTCACTGATTCCTGCTTCATCATCTATTTTTCCTGTCCATGTTGTCTGTATGATTACCGAAAGAGGAAGTCCAGAACTGACAAATCAATCGTCATAAATGCCTTCCCTGAAAACATCTCCCAGTTGCTCTCATTATATTATCCACTTTATTTCTTCTTTTCAAATTAGCTTCCTATTTTCCCTGTTGACTTATTTATTGCCTACCGTCCTTTGTAGAATATGACCTTCAGGGGCAGAGAAGTTTTCCGATTTATTAGCTGTTGAATTCCCTTTACTCTTGATATATGGTAAGCTTCACAAATCATTGGCTGGAAAAAAAAATGAATGAATCAAGTGGTGGAGTAACAGCCCTTTGAACTGATGCTTTGTTTCTGTGCCAGGCTCTCCTGGGGTTTGATGTACTCTGGCTTCACCTTCATTACGGCCACTTTGATGGCTCTGATTGTCATCCTAACTGGCTTCGTGGTGGTCTTCACCCTCTTCCTCCTCTATGGCATGTCTTTGGTGAGTTGGTGAAAGTAATCTCTCTCTCTCTCTCTCTCTCTCTGGGATCGTTTCTCAGAGAAATTACAAGTCATGTCTCACTGATTCTGCTCACCCTCTTCTCTTCTGTTTGCAGTATTTGAGTATTTGCATGAGACAGTATCTAAAGGTTGGGGGAAAGATGAAATATACTTTTGTGTTATGAAATTCTTTTTTATCACGACACTGATCATTCTCAGAGGATTATATACTACCTGAAGTCTTTCTCTCCTCTCAGATAACGTAAGCTTTCCTGATGAGCGTGTTGGTGAAGAAACCTTCCCTTACCGGGCTGGCTGTCTTTCTTCTTACTGTCTTTTGGGGGAGTCTGGGATTCACTGCTCTGTACAGACACCTTCCTGCATTTTTGGAATGGACCTTATGTCTTCTTAGCCCTTTTGCTTTCACTGCTGGAACGGCCCAGGTAAGAGTTGATGTAACTATTTCATCTTTTACAAAACATTTAAAATGGATTCCCTCTTCATAATTCATGCTACACGTGCTAAACATTAAAATTCCCATCCACCTGAAGAGACAGGAGAGGGTTCGCTTTTTCTCTCTCAGCATAATTAGGGTTTTTTTTTTTTTAGGTCTGATGTAGACTGATACTCTGTCATCGGTGTGGATCAGTTTTTACTTTTATTGGGCTTCCCCAATGCACATTTATCGAATTTAATGCTCAGGAAACATGACCCCTTGTCTTGTCACAAGTATTTGAAAACCAGGAATTCCCTAGAAATAAATTTTTATTCTTTGATTGGCCAATTCTATATGAAACTGAACCTCGTCTCAGAAAAAGTAAGTTATGATGTCATAATTATAAATGCAAAGTGAAAGGTTATGTCACACATAAACTCACTGTATCTTAACTACACTAGGAAGTTACTCTTGTCTTCGGCCCAAGTGCAGAGGTACTTGCATCCCTCCGTGTTTTCACTTTCAGATGTGTCCCCATCTAGAATGCCCTCCTCCTCCCCATCGTAAGCCTGATGAAATCCTATAGGCAGCCCACCTCCAATACCACCTCCCTTGAGTTTTCACCTCTGCCTAGAGGACCTGCCTGCTGCTGCCTGTGGGAACCCTTACCCAGCACCTGCCTTCTCCACCTTCCCAAAGTGCTTTGCAGCTACGTGGTTTCACTGCTGTATCTGCCAACAGATTAGAGCTCTGTAAAGACCAGAATTGTGTCTCATTTATCTTTTCAATCCCAGTGCCTAGCAGAAATAAGACAATGATCATTCTTAATGCTCTATTTATCTTTTTTAAAGTCCATGCATGTATCTCTTTTTTTTTTTTTCAGCTTATACATTTGGACTATGACGGGAACTCTAACATCCCTCTGGATTCTTCAAACAACCAGTACCTAATAATAGCAACTCTTTTCATGCTGGTTTTTGATGCTTTTCTCTATTTGGCATTGACATTATATTTTGACAAAATTTTGCCCAGTAAGTAGTAACATGATTGTGATTCAACACAATTTCATTCGCTGTATTTCTTAAATAACTGTCTGCAACATATTAAATATAAATTATCAAGAATTTTTTTCCCCAAAATTTCTAAAATGAACCTAGTGGTATTCTGTACTCTGTTTATAGAATTACTTTCTAAGATCTTTTTCTACTGTAACGATTTAGGTGGCTTCTTTTTAAAAGGAGACACTTGCAAGAGATTAAGGATAATTATAATGTTAGTGGTTGTTTTAGAACTAGTTAAAGAATGCTCATGCTTGATACTGGATCTTAGAAATTTCTAAATGCCTCCCCAATGTGTCGCACTGATGTACCATCCTATCTATGGTGACTATAACCCTTAAAGTGGTGACTGACCCAGTGTTTAATTGCCTCCTGTTCGTGTAGCTGAATATGGACGTCGACATTCGCCTTGGTTTTTCCTGAAATCCTCTTTCTGGTTTCAACACCAAAGGGCTGATCACGCGGCCCTTGAGAATGAGACATATGTAGATTCTTCAACTAGCGACTCCTTTGAACCAGTGTCTCCAGAATTCCATGGGAAAGAAGCCATTAGGTAATAAAAATATTACATGGTGTTGCAAATGGAGAACAAGTCAGAGACCATAGATCTATTAGGCAAAACCCAGATGTGACTAAGATTTCTTTCCATGCCTCTTTGTACCCACCGGGGTCCCAGACTGCTACACTTGTGAAAGGCAACATCATTCTTTATCAATATATTTATTTAATGGA